CACCCGTATTTATACAGAAACAGATGCTTTTATTATGGTGATTTTATTCAACCATTTTTTTTCTCCGCAGCTCCAGCTGGATCGGATGAGAAGACAAAAAGCAAGAGGCGGAGGGAGAAAAGGAACTGGAGGAAGAAGAAGCTCAAGTCATCTGACACCACAAACGATTTAATGTCTGAGCTTCCATTTGCTCTGACCAGCCCCACCACATGGGAAGAGCTTGGATGTGTGTGCATTCTTAATATCATCATTGAATCATTCTAATAACATACTAATGTACAAGATTAATTGAATCAGGTCTAATTTTCTGAAAAGAAGTATGTGCCTCCGCCTAAAGCAGACTGGCTTGGTGCCTGTTTTATTTATTTTCAGGTGATGCCCGAATTTATTTAAGTGTGTAGTAATTTGTACCATCACGATTTTTGCTAGACCGTTGTATTAGACAGATTTAGCTATTGCTATCTTTTACTTATGAACTGTAAGTTCAGTGGAAGTTACAAGAGTAAGTCAGTTTTTTGTCTTCCCATGTCAAGTATCCTATTGTGTTAAATCTCAAATCCAGACTCCGATGAGAAGAGGCGAAAGAGAAAGAGAGGAGACAACGGAGGGCGAGTGGACAGTGAAGAGGACGCAGAGAAGAAGAAAAAGAAGAAGAAAGAAAGTCAGCGACCAAATTACTTTGTCTCTATTCCAATCACTAACCCACGGGTAAGGAGCTGCAGTACTCTTCACTCACTGTAGCATGTGTCAGCGAACCAACTTTCAGTTGATCGATTCATCAATTAATCTCAAATTTATTTCAGCTTTTAAAAGTAGCTGCTAAATTCATTTTGACAGCAATCAGGTTGTTTGCAATGCAACCAGCTCCCGTGCAGGCGCTCCTAAAACATCTGTGCTTCAACCTCAATAATGTTACACACAAAGAATAACATATATTAAGCCTTATAACTGTTTATTGATCATTCATCTCAGTGTACTTGAAGTAAATTATCACACTCTACAAAATGACGTCAAAATCAGCAGCTGCATGAAGCTCGTATGGCATGCTTTGGAAACAGTAACATTACGAATGTATAGCATTGCAGTAAACTCACACGCACTGATGTCACTTTTTATAAGAAGAAAAGTTGAACCCAGATCCTTTTTTTTTAAATGTTGTAAATTGCTTTTCTATCCTGACCAGCAGAACTCTAATTAGTTTGACATGTATTCTTTTTGTGTGTTTCCAAAGAGGAAGTATGTCCATATTTAAGCTGATTCTAGTTCATTTTTCTGTAATTGCAGTAAACCCTATTTTGCCCTTGATGGAAAACAATAGTCGTAATGTAAAGATCCTGTTTCAAAAACCCTTTGAATTCTCCCAGACTATTGATGAACTTAGTGTTAGTAGGTACATGGTCAGTGTAGCTCAATTGGTACTGGGAGAAGATTGGAAACAAGGGTTCAGATTAAATTATCTGGCAGGTGATGATACTGAAACCGTAGTGCTTACTAAGCAAGCAGCCCCTGAGAATGAACATTGATTTACCCCATGGTCATCATGTATTGATGCGTCGTCTGTGATGTTGAATTGCTGAAGTTGCTCCAGTTTCTTCTTCTTTTTTTAATCTCCATCTCCTCTCCACTTCTTTATCAATGCTAGTCTTGTCTTGGATAGTGAGAAGCGATGGTAGAGGGATAATTAGCAGTCACAGTACATTTTCTAAAGTCATTATTTTTCCAAATGACAGATCAGTTCTACTGTTCTGGAGGTCCAGGAGGCGGTGCTTAAGCAGGAGCTAAGACTGGCAAAAGCCATGATCCCCGTCCCAACTCTCCACATCACGCTGTTAGTCACTCATCTCGCCAATCAGGAGCAAGTAGACCTGTGAGTAGATGCTCCGCATGCGACACTAACATTTCAACCTGAAAAAAAAACATTCATTTTTACAGCCATGTAATGGGAGCTGTACATAACACACAAAAAAACATTTGACATAATTGATATGCCATCAGCCAATTAGACATCAAAGGCTGAGCTGCTATGAAACAAAACATATTAGATTGCAGAAGACCTTAGACTGTATATTGCCATTTTGATTTGTAACCCACTTGAGCTGAACAAACATCTGGTCTGCGATTTAAGGAAAGAATACACTGAAATCTCTCTGTTGTCCTGCTTTATCCATTTTTCCACAGTGACACACACAGACTCTGCTACAGCTAAATAACTCATATTCATCCAAACAGAGGCGCTCTCAAATAAGTCTACTTTCAAACATCAGATTGTCTCCCATTGTACCAAATGAGTCTTTGTTGATGCTGCACACTCTCACCACTTTAGGTCAGGGAACAATGTCCTGCTTTTGTTTGTTGCTGTTGTGAAGTTACTGAAGAGACTACTTTAAGACATGGAAGCAGAGTTCAGCAGTGACTAATTACACAGCATGTCACTTTAGACGCTGCTTCTGTCTTATCTCTTCCTCTCAGCATTTCCAGGAAGGAGTCAGTCAGAATCCATTTTTTGTTGTATTGCACTGCAAAATGTTAAAATGTGTCTTATAAATGTTGTGTTTTTCAAACTGACCCACATAAGATAATTTGTTTTTTTTAATGCTAAAATTGCCCCATAAAGTGCCCAACATTTCTAACCAAACTAGTGTTTCTACTTGTTTTATTTTAACTAAACCAAAAGTAAATACCTGGTAACTTCAAATACTTAAATTAAACAAAATATTATTGAAACATCATCTCAAATATTCGGGGAAAGCAGTTTCCTGTGTTTACTAAATGTTTAAAAACTGCATTCAATGTTCAGATTCAAACATTTCATGAGGAAGTGTCACAGAATGAGCAGTGATGTTTCATGTTACAACACGGTGCAGCTCAGGAACGTGTTAGCCATGTTATGTGACGATGCTGATGCTTAATCTACATCAAGCAGAAGATTGTGTCATTAGTAATCACTTGATTCTCTCATTATGTAATAGGAAGAGAGAGGAAGAGAGAGGATTAGGTCTTGAATTTGTGTGTGTGTGTGTGTTGTGGTAAATTCATCTGTACATTTGCTATTAGGGCGGGATCCGTGCTGGCTCAGGCTGAGCCCTCATTGGCTGAGCTGTTGGGAGGGCGGGATCTAGCGTTGCCCTTCTCGGGGATCAGTCATTTCAGGAAGGAGGTGGTGTTTGTCAGTCTGGCCCCCGGACAGCACAGACACACACTGGACAGTGTGGCAGGTCAGTGATGGAGCTTTCTCAATCTCTTGTGTGTTTTCCTCCTCTGTCCTACATCAACAGTTCTGTCTGTTTTAAGCATGAAATATAAAGTCCAGCTTTGCTCATCGTGTGGTGCTCCGAGTGCTGTAGAGTAGACGTTCCTTTAGAGGATGTGAGCGTGATGCTATTTCTCGTCCCTGTGGAGGCATGTTTGAACCTCCTCCCTTCAGCTGGGGAGCCTCGCTGCTAGTAAGAGGACTTAATATCTTTCACATGTAAAAAGTGACTGTGAGGGTTTGAGGTTACAGATTAATTAGCTTTACGGGATTGGTGGGCTGTTTATTGATTAGCTAACTGTAAAAAGTCAATATTCAAAGTTTGCAGGAGGTCTCAGTCCGAGTTTTATCCTAGACTGAACTGGGGAGCATTTTCAACAAGGCAGTCTTTAAAATGAAGGTAAAAGAAGGTAGTCGCAATTGGCTGTAAAATTTGCCAAAAGATGTTAATGAAGCCAAGTATTCATGATGAGTTCCCCCAGAGATAGGGCTCTGCTGTGGGACCCTGCACTGCACGCAGGTGTGTAGAGTGTAGAGTGTGGAGTGTAAACATCTGGTTTTGAATGAATTTAAAAACCGGTAAGAACAGTGTAAAAGTCTGCAGATGAATGTAATCACAGCCACATCCTCTTTCTTAAAACAAATAGAACTAGACTTGAGGTAATGAGAGGATTTTTCTCTTTCTATAATTTTGGATGTCTGAAAATTATGTGTGTGCAGTGGGGACAAAATGATCAACTATTTTGACAGTTGCTTCCACAATATTTCCAGCATAGCTCCTTTTATTTATTCATGGGAGTTCTAGAAGAATCTTTGGATTCTGGACTCTTAACTGGCAGAACAGCGTATTTAAAGGTGTGACGTTTGTAATGTGCATATTTTAGACATGTTGAATACTAAAAAAATGAGGATAAGGATGAAAATAGTCCTCTGATAAACTAATAATGTTCCTTGAAAATAGTGTGAACACGTTTTGTAAGGTCTTTGCATGTTCTCTGTCTTCTTTGTCCTTGTACATTTTTCATTATTCGTCCATGTAAGGGGTTTACACAAGATCATTTGCGTGTATGTTTTTTTTTTTTTCTCGGGTTTGCCGTTGGCAACAACATTAAGCCAACATTTCTAAGAGGATTCTCACCCCATTTCTCCTGCAACAGCAACACACACACACACACACACACACACACACACTGACACAACCACACGTGTAAAATAAATGAGCTCAAAATGCTTAATGCTGTCTGTTTCAGAAATACACAGTGACATTCATTTGTGTACACTAACATAACAGGAACTGTGCGACTATTAGCTAATTAATGTAAAGCAAGAATGTTCTTATCTGTGTCTAACTTATGAGGATGTTCATAATAATAAAATACATCAATTAGTTGATGGTCACCTGAATTAAAAAAGATTTTAGTTGTAAGATTGTTATGCCTCTTATTCTCAACAATAAGGAACAGCTGTTGTAGTGAATTCTGTGTGGGACACTATCCAAAATCAATGTATACGATATGCTGTATCGTGGCCTCTGTATTGTGATACGTATCGTATCGTGGGGTTGTGGGAAATACCCAGCCCTATTGGTTAGCAGCAGGTTGTGTTTTCTCCAATGATGCATTGGACATTATATCAAACATTCAATTGACAAGGAGGTAGTGACGAGCGTTTTACACCAGATGACAGCTGGAAGGCATGTCAGAGATGGAAGGTTCAAGACAAAAAAACATGCAGCATCATAATGTTTAGATCTGCATTTATCTGACTCCATTAAACTCATTCTAACCTGGCAGCTGATACTAGAATGGACAGACACTAGAACATTGACACAGTCAAGTAAAACCAACGCTAACACTTGAGTGACTGAGTGTGCCGCAGAATGTATGCACGGCCTCAGGAAACCTTTACTCAATCTATTCTGTAAACCTGTTGTAAACTTTCTAATGTGGATGGTGAGGTTAAGACACGTCCTGTCTCAGGTGAGGTGTGACTGGAGTCAAATCAAAACCAGCAAAAACACAACAAAGCTTTAGAACAGCCAGAGAACATGTAGGATCTGTTACAGAGATGCAGCAGCTCAACACTTGCTAAACTTTTAACCCACTACCAGGTAGGTAAGAATGTACATGACAAGTCCCTTTTATTTAACTCCAGTAAATGTGATGCAATACCAAACAAAACAGCAAGACTTCATGTGCATATACTTTGTGAAAACAGGTTTCCTTTTAGTGTTTGCACAAAGTCTAGAAAGTTTTAAAAGATTCCCACATTAGACTGTTTTTAAGGTTAGGAATATTCTCCTATTATACTCCTTAAGAAATGATAGATTTGTATCATAATCTGGTGTTTCATTACAAATTCAAAAACTCTTTAATATTTCAAATAAAAATGAAAAATCCTCTCATCACATTTATTTGTTTTCTTAGGAGTAGAGTGGACCGGGGTGTGAAGGACTGACACGGGTTTAATATTTTGGATTAAGGTACCCTGCAGATTGCTTCAATTTTACTCTCTTAATCTTAACAGAACTTCTTATTCCAGAAAGTTTAACCTACTGGATACCATTCCCTTTCCCCCCTAACCACCCTGTATTAAAATCTATAATAAAGTTCATTGCGTTAGCTGTGATATCAAACACTATTCATAAATGCCTGTGATTGGAAATAGCTTGTTTAATGTTTTGTACAGTCATTCTAAGTTGTGTTACTCCCCTACGGTATATAAGTTCATGTTCTAAATTTAAGGACATCAGCCTTGGAGTATGGCATGTCAAATTAGTAGTATTGATTGATTTTCCTAACCTTATAGAAGCACAACCCAATGTGTGCCAACTGATTATTGCCCACACTGATGTTTACTCCAGCTCTCAAGTGGCCCATTTAAACAACACACTTACTAAGAACAGTGCACATCAGTAGCAACAGATCACAAATATCACAATTTAGGTCAGATCGATGATTTTTGTCACTGAACAAACTGTGCATCTTAACAGCAAATCAAAATGCATATCCATGTATAGCGTGCGTGCGTGCGTGCGTGCGTGCGTGCGTGCGTGCGTGTGTGTCAGGCTGTACCTGCAACGCCTGTCGTGTGAGTCACGCAAACAACAAACAGGCTGTGTGTGTTTAGGGACTATATCATCTGTTTTTGAGGAGTCTGTATGGCTAAGGCTGTAACGTCACTTACTTTAAGTTTCTGATTGATGTTCTATATAAGCAGACAGCAGCTGATACCTGCATGATAAACACAGACACAGTGACAGTACGACGTTTGAATCAAAGTAAACACAGTGAAATATCAACGCTTTATGATCCGTGTGAAAGTCTGTGAAAAATGTTTTTTCAAAAGACTGATTGGACAGTGAACTTCTGAGACTCTTAGCAGCAGTACATTTATTTCACACCTTGATGATAACATTTCCATCAATCCACTGATCAGAAGCTGCCTGCACCGTGGGGGTGGGGTGGTGTTGATATGAACAGATGGCGGGTCAACTGTGATCTGTTACCCCTCTGCAAATCAGACATCCTTTCAAAGACTATGACTTTTTACATGTTTATTCATATTTAAGACGTGAATAATAAAACAGCAACAGAAGGATATTACACATTTCATTTGGAAAAGCAATATAAGGATACGGCAGGAAGTCCGACTCTGCTGTCCTCTCGTCTGCTCCCTCCAACACTGTTATTGATTATGTACTAACCTTTCCTTCCCTGTAGAGCTCCTCTTCTAAAAATAACACTGGTTTTCCTCTAAACGTCAGTGGTTGAGTTGGTGTGGTGTGCGTCTTTGTGTGTGCATGTCTGTCCTTGCAGACTGCGAATGTGTTGATGACCTTGTTTATCTGTCCTGGTAGAACTATATGGGAGAAAAAAAAAAAGCTTTTCTTTTTTTTACATCTATTCAGCTTTTGTGTTGACACTAGTGGTGCTCTTTGCTCTGCCGCTGTAAAGGGGATCTGTGGGGCTGAATTCAGAGGAAGTAGTGGCTGTGTTTGAAACGTAATCTCGAAGTTTAGTGTTTGAATTTCACCTCATGATCTCTGTCACGTCTCTCCTTCATGAAAATCTGTGTCTCTGTGTGTTGCAGAGTTGTTGCGGAACCGTTTTGTGGAGCAGGGTCTACTGCAGGGAGACGGTCGTGGGTTTGAACCCCACCTCACCATTATGAAGCTGTCCAGAGCATCAAAACTACGATCACAGGTATACACACAAACAAACATATATGCTCTTTCTCGTTACTGTTGGGTAACTAAAAGTGAATTACATGCTAATGAAAATGTATCAATCCAACAGACATTGATATGCCCATAATCACTGAAACAAGTAGTATTTTTTCTTTACTTTTATATATATATATATGTGCATTTAATTTGCAATGTATTTAAAGCATCAAGATACTGTATTTCAACAATTATATTTCTAAAGCACACGCATATTAGGTGCTTGAGGTTGCACCTAATACAGTGTTTCTCTGTGCATTTTCATTCCTCAAAGCGTCAGCTAATTCAAATCGTTTGGCAAAAGTAAATCAGTAAAAGAAACAAAAAAGTTGCTCTTGCTCTTTTTTTTCTATTTTGTTTTCTAGATCTGCTTTGTATTCCTCCCTCCAGTTATGTTTCTTTTCCATTGAGTCCCGGTGAGGTTATTATTTCTTATAACACGTGACCTTTGACTGCTTAAAGGGTTAAGGAGAGGTAAGCAGTGGTCAGGAGGGTCGGAGAGAAGATCTTCTTATCCTTCCTGGCGTCTGCAGGACGACATTCTTGCATTACATCAGTCTGAGTGTTTGTGTATGTGTGTGTGTGTGTGTGTGTGTGTGTGTGTGTTTGTAAAGAATAAGTGCTCATATTCTTTAAAGTTTAATAAGCGTGCTCTAAACAGCACTCTTCCTATGTTGTGTTTCTCTCAGGGTATAAAACGTGTAGACCCGGCTCTCTACTCCAACTACACTACCAAGTAGGTGCTTTATTTTTTTGATATTACCAGAAAATATTCTGGTTACCAAGTGACCTGATGTTAGTTCTCCACAACAAGTGTAGAGGGACATGTTGTAGTGTTTTTACAGGCTATGTGTTGTAACAGGAGAACTTTTGCTCAAATCCATCTCAGGCTATTGACAGAATTTTGACTCACTGGTGTTTTAAAAGTCCTTTTAGGGCCCGACTGATCTGGGATTTTTATGGCTGATACCATATATTGATATTGGGGAGAAAAACAATTACCTGCCGATATCTTAGTTAGATCTACTTCGATCTGTAGAGATAGATGGATATACACATTTATTTTGTTGATCCCTCAAATGTAGAAATGAAACACTTGTGGAAAAGATTAATGAAGAAAAGATGCTGACTCACTTGGAAAGTAATTGTGCATGTACGCTTGACACTCTGAAGGTTAATAATGCTTGTTGTAATCCATATAGCACCCTCTGCTGGTGACAGAAAGAAAACTGCTAGGCTATTTGACTGGTGAATAAATCTTGTAATATCTGCAAATATCTTTGATGAAATTAGCTCTCACCGATAGTCACTCGATATGTTTTTATCGGCTGGACGATTAATCGGTCAGGCTCTAGTTGAAACCCTACATTTTTCTACTGCACATACGACTGAAGTCAACCTTCACTATCTGCTGAAAGAACATTCTCTTCCCTGACTCAGCCCTCCTCACTCTCACTTTTTCCTTTTTACTGCAACACTCAGGTTTTTCGGAGAGCAGACAGTCGAGCGGGTGGATCTTTGTTCCATGTTGAAGAAGAAGCAACAAGACGGATATTACCACACTGAGACTTCACTACAGCTTGGTAAGTACCCACAAACAAAGCAGTATCAAAGTGAACGTGCTTCTGACTGACATCAGCAACACTTCAAAATGTATCAAAGGGAAATGTTGCACTTCATGCATCAGCAGAGGGTACGTGGCAGAGGATGAATGTTTGTTTGTTGTTCTGCAGTGTGTATGTGTAGACTCAACTGTTCCAGGTACGCGAGGGATACATCGAGAGATTGTTCACTAATTAATCAGTTGCTCTCTCAGATGGATAAAATAATACTATTTAAAGCCTAGTCATGCTGTTTTGTTTTAAGCATGTTTAAACAGCTGCTGCAGACTCTAATGTTCAGTGAAACAGGATCAAGAGAACAAAGTAGAAATGGATTGATCTGCTCTGCAATTTGATTGTCGTTACTTTTTGTCCCTAATTAATAAATCAAAATAAACACTTCATTTATTTATACAAGATTTTTTTGGGGGGGCTTTGCTATGCCAACTGAGCTAGACCAGCGCCCCATAAACACTTTGTTTTGACAGCCCTAGTTTGTATAAAGTGTTTATTCAGCTATCAGGTGCAGTGTTGAGCCACCAGAGGGCGCCTTATGCTCAAGTTGGTTAAGTTTTTCTAGCAGTGAGGTATGGTTAGGTTGTGGCAGCATATTTTGGGGTAAAACATTTTTGTTTTCTTGTTTCTCTTATTGTCCATAAATCATGTTGTGGGAGAGAAATCAAAGAGTTAAGTCTATTTGGAATTTGCTTTTGAAGGTTTTTTCCATGTGGCAAAGATTGGTTTCACTATTTTTCATAGTAGTCGACACACGCACGTATTTTTAAACGCTTAACAGAAAAGAAAAGAAGGGAAAACTGGTCCAGGGAGACGCCACTTGAATACTCAAGAGCTGATTTCCATTTTCGACATTGCTGCCCAGTTTAGACATTACTGCTCTGCGAGTACTGGCTGAAGTTGGCTGCATTGTTGAACTGCAGCTTATTATGACTGCTGACTGAATGCAAAGAAGCCTATGTAATTAAAAAGTGAATCACTTAACGGGAGTGGAACATATTTATCTTTTGATGAGAATTGTTTTTATGATTAGTTTAAAACCATGTTAATACATTTATTCTGACTGTGGTGCCGTAAAAAATAAAACACATTCTGCTTCTCACTCTAAATGAATCAATAGAATAGTGAAGCTAAACTCACCTTGAATGTGGCACAAACCACAATGTTGTGTTCAATTCATTCAACAGATTTTAGTAGTGAGACATCTCTGCTGCTGTGGAGGATTGTTAGGGCGGTTTCTCTTACTTTGTGTAGCTCCACATGACCTCCAGATGGCGCTGTTTTACACTGTGAGACCTGGGTGGAGGCCAGACAGACGGTGTCATTATTGTGCTCTTTGTGTCATCAAATGCTGCTTCATGATGGTTGTAAAAATGTTAGGAGTGGAAAGAGATTTATCCCTGAGAGACAAAAAAGGAAAAAAGCTTTTGGAGAATATAGTTGTAGTGTCCACATGTAAAACTTTTTTAAATCAGTATTTTGAGCAGCCACTCTTTGTTACACAGCATCTTTGTGACATTCTCTGTGATTGTTGTTAAACAGGATTGATTGATCGATCGCAGTGATGATGTGAATCACATGTTTCCCTAGTTGCAAGTGTCTGAAAGGGATATAAAAACAATTATTGCTTTTTTAATTAAATGTATTCATGTCAATGCTGTGCCCCATCATGCCTCTTTTAGTCATAGCACAGGCCAGTGTCTTAAGTGTTTTGTAGGTTGTAGAGACCGGAACGTAAAAAAAATAATTTCTTCTCCCAATGAAACAGCATTTGACTTCTGAATTAGCTGACCGGTAATATGGTGCCCTTATTCCTGAGGGTGTTCAGGTTCTGTAGCCAGAGTTAAATTTGTTAAAACAGACACAATCTAATTTATTTTAAATAGAATGTTCAGACAAGAAATCAGGGATTCTGTCTGCCCTTAAAATGCCTCAATGAGGATTTCTGCTTTGAACAACCATTTTTCAAAGAGAAGTTATTATAATTATTATTATTCAAATCATTCTCCTAACGCTCACACCCTTTTCAGCTGAAAGACGACTAAAGTTTTGGTTGAAGGAACTACTGGTTTTGTGCTTTTGTGTTGAAAAAAGAGCCCGACCAATTAATCGGCCTGACGATAATATCTGATACTAACCCTAACCCTCGGAATATCGGCTCATTTTATCGCAGATATGCGCCGATATTCCGATTTACTCACCAGTCAAATAGCATTTCATTTGACTATCGTTGTATTACACAGCAGTTCTCTTTCACCAGCAGAGGGTGCTAAATGGATTACATGTTTTTGTAAGAGGCCTTGTTTAAAGCAGCTAGCTCAAAAGGCAAACTAAGGATAAGTGTATACGTCCAGGTGAAAATATGCAAATAAAGGCAAGCACATATACATTATGTGTAAGTCCCACTGCCAAGTAAGTACACCCGTGTGTGTGGCTGTCAGCATGAGTGGTACTAGACTGTCACAATGTTTTGTGGATCACTGAGCTGCCTCTGAGAGACATTGCTGCTACCTGCCACTACACGTGTCTGTGAAAAAGGGTTTAATCACAGTGTGATAACAAGTGAAGTCCTTCTAGATGAGCAGGAGGCAGGTGTTCTGTTCTCTGCATGTCACTTCCACTTGTTGTAAGTCAGGTCACCCAATGAAAATGTCTTTAAACTAAACGACTCCTAGCATCATGACAAATTATAGGACGTCCAAGGGAGATTATTGTTGATACTTGTGGCCACAGGGGTTTGTATCGAGTCAAATGTGGTGTAGTCTTTATTTCATCTGACGTATCTCTATAAGCTCTTAACTACAAACAACACCACCGCGATATTTATAACAGGAAGTCAAAATGCTCTTCTACACCTTAATTCAAGAAGAAGAAGAAAAAAACACTCACTTGGTGTTTGAAGAGCGTGTTTGTGCTACTTTTTTAGTTTGTCTTTCAGGTTTTCCTTAACTGCACCTTAGGCAAAATGTCTGTTGATGTGAAACAAGAAAGTTAGCTCCAATGCATTAGCATGTTACTAATCCCATGAAGTATGAACTGGATCTTAGATGTTATGTGGAACATATTGAACTCTCTGTCACAAGCAGAAAGACTCTGTGTCATAGATCTCCTTTAATTGACAGAAATCTATACAGGAAAGCAAGGTGCCTTTTCCCACCGTGAACTTGAAGATGTAAAGGCATCTTTAGCTCATGAATTGTTTGACCTAATGAATACAACACTGATTAACAACTTGATAAGACTCTAGAAGAACCAGAAAGGCAAAATAGACTGCATTTTACTCATTGTAGATGTCCACCTAACATGTCAAAATATTTGTATGCATAAAACAGACCTTTTTATGGACTGGCAACAGTGACCGCATTGAAGGTAAGGAGAACACATCTATCAATCTAGAAACCTGAGATTTAAGAAGGCTACAGGAATATATGTCAGTAGTTTAAGACCACACTCTAGGCTGCACTCAAGAATTAGTTAAGTGAAATTGTTCCCTCCACAGGAAAGCAATTAGTCAGGCAGCACTCAGCAGTCTTATTACTCAGCGTAGACAAAGATGCAGTGGAGAAAAGAAATGGTGACTCTTGTTTTAATTGTTTTAATCATGATAAACACATCATGTGTGTGACAGTTGGTACAGATGGAAAAAATGACGTCATGCCCTGTTAGTAACTGCGTTTTAGCTGCTTCTATTCATATCTGTTTAAATTACAGCAGGGAAGGTTTTTTAAAATTTTGTAGACTGATTCCAGGCGGGTTATTTTCCTCTATCACCCCTGTTTCTCACAGTCCCGTCTGCTTTTTTTCTGGTCTTGCACAGTGGTCATCGTCTGATTACGTGTGTATATGTTAATCCCATAATCCACTGTACAGGGATAATCCACTGCAAAGCCCACAATATACAACCTAGTAGGGTGGGTTTGTGTGTCGGAAAAGGCCAGGATGCCAGAATATATCTCAACAGTAGCAGAAGGTGGAGGGACAGATTGGGAGATTTTTGCGGGATATATATAAAAGTTATAATCCTCAAGAATTCAATAACGTTGGATTTGGCTACAAGATGGCGTCACCCATTGGTCCATTGATTACTGTTCCCCCGTTCTTTTGGATGGCCTGAAGTGACAAAAGTATAACTATGGGTTTAATACACATGGCTGCATTTCTCTAGTGCAGATTTTTGGGACTTTGCAACAAGCAATGGAAACTACTAATTATTTTTCATAATAAGTCATCCATTTCATCAAATCTTTAACTGATTTCTTTGGCCACATGGGGGCATCCACATCAAGTTGTGAGTGCAACATTAACATATAAACCCCTCCCTTTAGTTTAAATTAAACCATCAAATGTATACAACAAACATAAGCACTGCAATCGTTACAATAAATAATTAAAGTAAAGAAAGAGCAACTTTCCCCCTGGTTGTCAAATGTAGCCGACAGTTAGTTGCTACACAACTATGTTAAATACTTGATTCTGATTGGCCAGTTACACATAGGTCTGCTATCACTTGATAGCACACTTGTTAAGAACAACAATCAGTTACTTTGAATAGCAGACGGTTACCATAGGGATGTGGCTTTAATTACCATCAATCAACAAAAAGAAGTCTGGTTAATTGGGAGATGGACTGATTACTGTGAGGGGGGGGGAGGGGTGAAAGGAGAATAAGACAACGGAGAAAAGAGGTTAAAAGACGGAAAACTGAAGGCTATGTCAGAAATCTACAAAACTGAACAAAACACTTATGGTAAAAACTTGGTACTAAACATGGTATGGAACACGACAGTGTTTAAAGATAGTGAATGGAGTAGAAAATAACAACAAAGTCCAACAGTTGTGAGGCAGAAAGCTCAATCAGGCGCTTCTATAATGTAGTCCCATTGACCTCTTGTCACTTCACAGCTGTAGAAATGTTCAGTTCAATGTGAGTCTTAACTGCTAAGTTACCCTACTGTAGGAAATTGAACATTTCTTTGGACGCAGCTCTTACTGTAGAGTCTAACCGACTGTTTCATTTGATAACCAATAACGTCATTTTCCAAATCATTAAGTTGTGTCAAATTATTGTTCTTT